ATTTGATTGTTTTCAATTTATCGCGAGCGATAAAGTTGCGATGGGCCTACAAGCATTTACAATCTCTCACATAAGCAATGAACGAAAAGCTCACCAACGTTAAAACAGCGTGCGTCTTGGAATCGATTTTTCGCGAACGTTTGTTTTTTGAGAACCCAATAAGTGCTCATGCGACAAGATCGTATTTTCAATCGTTCATTTGCTGTGTGTGTAAGTTAACACATAGAGGTTTAGTAAGTACAAAAATGCCAATTGCATTGCCAGACGCTGAGCTTGCAGTTTGATGCAAAATGTAGATGTTGCAGTTTGGTGGGCAACACATTATGAGAACGAAAAACTAACAACCACTCTACGATCGCAAGTCATCTAGACAAGAGCCAGCCATCGCTGCTCACTATTAAAAGTAAAATAATACTTTAGTCGTAATTTGACAAAATTAACAAATAGGAGCCAGCCATCGCTGCTCACTACTGAATAAATAAAAATAAAATAAACACAAAATTTTTATTATTTAACTGGCGCCCAACTCCCACTAAACCGCCCGGTTAAGAATCCACATCAACGTTTTTAACAGCATCATTATCAACACCAACAACGAAGTAAACATCGTCAACGACACAACTACTTCTCATCGACAACGCTACTTCTCGCAGTATCGATATCGGCAAAAATTACCTTAAACACTCAGCTAACTTATCTATGTACTCATCGATTATAAAAGAAACAGAAGACATGAGAATTCATTTTCCTAGGTCACATATGAAACAGATACTGAACTCTGACATACGACACATAAAGACTCTCTTAGAAACGGTAAACATTCATCACAGGTATGATAGAAGCCTAAATTTTCTAGGGACCGCGCTAAAGGTTGTACCCGGCACTCCAGATTATGACGACTTTCAAAATATAAAATTTACCCATAAAGAGCTCATTGAGTCAGAGCATAGGCAAATAACAATAAATACAAGGACGCAGGAAAAAATAAACGAATTAACAGACGCTGTAAATAATTTAGTAAGGAACACAAAACCGGAACACATGAACACAGAAAATCTATATGAATCTTTGATTTCCCGAAATAGTAAAAAACTGTACAAAACACCACAACTTGCGCTCAACAACTCCACTCAGGGGGTATCGCACATTATACCACACGTCCCAGCCATCTCGAATCGTTATCGATTATTGATGACGGCATCATCATCATTAACGACAGAAGGGTTACCATCAATGGCCAACTACTAATCGGGACTTTCCTCATTACATTTGAAAATGAGGTGATGATCAATAACTCCATATACCGTAACATAAGAAGTTATGTTAGAAAATTTCCAGAACCGGCCGTGTCAACACTCGTTAACATAACAGGCCATGAAGAAATTTTTAGTTCGCCATATTTGCAGAGATTAAATAGGCTTAAGTTGAGTTTAGGGGCTATGCTCGGATTGACCTGAAATTTTTACGACGTGTATATCATTTTAACCTGATTACAGCAAGGTAATTTTTTTGTGGGGGAAATACCCGGTTACTCGGTCATTGGACCCGAAAGTTCAGATACAATATTCGGTTTTTATCCGGTTCTACTGAACCGATAACTTGATCACTTGAAATCTTATGAAAATACCTATCCAACAAGTTGTCACATGATGAGGTTACTAGAACCGGTTCTAGAGAAATGCGAGAAAATTGATATTTTTTACCAGTACTTTTTGAAAAACCCATAAAAACTCAAAAATGGACCCATTATGGGGTATTAAAAACTGCATACTACATTGTAGCCTACACTCTGGCCTTTCCAAAAAGGTGCTATTGGTATTGATATCTCTTATATTTCCGAAGATATTAGTCATGCAAATCATGAAATTGAGTTTTCACCCACTAATATTTATCTCTTATAGCTTTGTAGTTCCGAAGATATTGTCTTTAAAGTCGAATTCCAACTACTTACAAAAATTATAATATTTAGAAAAACTATGGATCGCGTAGCCGGTGTTGGACATACCTCAGGAGAAAAAATCTCAAGCCCCGGCCGAAGGCCGGCTACTTACAAAATTTTCAATGTTTACAAAAACTTTGGATCGCGTAGCCGGTGTTGGATATACCACAGAGGAGAAAATCGCAAGCCCCGGCCGAAGGCCTTCGACTTACAACAACTTTAATGTTTAGAAATATTATGGATCGCGTAGCCGTCGTTGGACATATCTTAGAGGAGAAAATCCCAATCCCCGGCCGAAGGCCGGCTACTTACAAAATTTACAATGTTTACAAAAACTTTGGATCGTAGTCGCCGAAGGCCGGCGACTTACAACAACTTTAATGTTTAGAAAAACTATGGATCGCGTAGCCGGTGTTGGACATACCTCAGGAGAAAAAATCTCAAGCCCCGGCCGAAGACCGGCTACTTTCAAAATTTACAACGTTTACAAAAACTTTGGATCGCGTAGCCGGTGTTGAACATACCACAGAGGAGAAAATCTCAACAACTATAATGTTTAGAAAAATTATGGATCACATAGCCGGTGTTGGACATATCTTAGAGGAGAAAATCTCAAGCCCCGGCCGAAGGCCGGCTACCTACCAAAATTACAGTGTTTAGAAAAACTATGGACACGGCCGAAGGCCGTCTGTTTCAAAATGCTATAGAGGTTAGATACATTTGACTGGAGAAAAAATTGCAATTTAATGATTTCTATTACTAATATCTTCGGAACTACAAAAGATATCAACACGTATGACACCATTTTAGAAAGGTAATAGTGTTGGCTGTTATAAGGTAGGCAGATTTTAATACCCTATAATGGGTCCATTTTGAGTTTTTATGGGTTTTTAAAAAGTACTAGTGAAAAATATAATTTTTCTTGCATTACTCTAGAACCGGTTCTAGTTCATCATGTGACCCCTTGTTGGATAGGTATTTTCATAAGCTTTCAAATGATCTCCATTTTGTAGTTATCGGTTCAGTAGAACCGGATAAAAACCGAATATTGTGTGTGAACTTTCGGGTCGAATAACCGGGTAACCGGGTATTTCCCCCACAAAAAATTACTTTGCCGTAATCAGGTTAAAAATACCTACCTGTGGTAAAAATTTCATAACGATCTGAGCATAGCCCCTAAACTCAACTTGCTCCATTAAATATACAGAACCTGCAATATGTTGACGAAATGGAGAAACAGTTCATAAATTGGACTGTAATATGCGGAATTGTTATAATAGCATTCTTGGTTATATGTTATGTTTTCATTAAAACCTACCAGAACCGTCAAAAGACCAAACACCGACAAGGACGTCCTCCATTTAAACGAGGGAGGAGTTAACACATGGAGGTTTAGTAAGTACAAAAATGCCAACTGCATTGCCAGACGCAGTTTGGTGGGCAACACATTATGAAAACGAAAAACTAACAACCTCTCTGCGATCGCAAGTCATCGCTGCTCACTATTAAAAGTAAAATAATACTTTAGTCGTAATTTGACAAAATTAACAAATAGGAGCCAGCCATCGCTGCTCACTACTGAATAAATAAAAAAAAACACAAAACTTTTATTATTTAACTTGTACACATTTACATTTTTTGAACAGTTAGAACGTTTTATCTTGCCGTTTAAAATATTGAATTTGTTACTGCTTATTCATTTTGTATTCTATTGCGTTTTCGACGGGACATAATCATGGTCTGTTCCTTACCACAAAAAAGTTTCCGCATCATCGCGTTTTGTAAATTATAAGTGTTTTTTCTATTATTAGGCAAAAATATGTTTATATTGCCCTGCTTTGAAATTTTATACAAAGTGTGTGCCTATTGTATAACAAGAAAAGAAATTGAATCACAAAACGTCATATCGAATTTGACACTAACATTAAATCAAATTAAGTCAAACTATTTTCTCAATATAATTCTAAGGCTGTACTATAATCTAACATATTTCTGGTATGTTGAGTATTCATTCGTGATTCTAATTGTTAATGAGAAAATTTATAATTTCAAAAAAAAAGTTTATTTTGCATTTTAAACTTCGTAGTTAATTTTTTGTCATATCCCAATTCTCTCATTGGGTTTCCTTGTTCAAAGAGAGATTTAAGTTAAAAATAAATGCTTTTTGTTTGCTCAAATCAATCTAGTATGATGAATTGAGTTATTTCATCATAGAGTCGAAAAACGAATAGAAAAACGATCTGGTGCACAAGTCGTGCAGAGAACGTTGTGCACTTTCTTTCATTGCTTCTTGTGTGCCCTTTTTTATATTGATAACAAATGCACCACTTTTTTAAAGTCAATGTCACTTCTCCATTATTTTTTTATTTATTCAAAGAATTAATAGGTGGTTATGTCAAATCTCTAGTTAAGTTGCAATACAGCAATTACAAAATTTGAGTAAAATATGGAAGAATTTTCCATTAAGTTTAAGATATTTTGTGTATTTTTGTTTTTGCAATCATAATTTTTAGGGTATAGTAACATTGTTAATTGTCTTTTGTGAGTAAGTTCAAATTATACATTTTGCCCATAAAATGTTGTATTTTATACATTTTTTCTACACTTTACACATCTGGAAATCTCTATTTTTAAAATCAAAGTAAAGCCGAATTACAATCCCTCACCCAGTATTTTACTAATTGTGTATAGCTCCAGCTGGCGGAAAATTCAGAAATTTTTACCGAAGGTAGATCGTGTTATCCTAATCACAGCGATATCGGGGAAATCTATAGTTGCCGAGGTAAAGAGATTTCAAAGTTGCCCCCTATACCCCTATTTACTTTGCTATTTCTATGCCGATAATCGAAATAAAAACTTCAAAATGTCGCTACAGGTTGGTTTTTGTATACCGATTATAACAACAAAACATTTTTGGGAAGTGGGTCCATATATCCCGATATATAGGGTGCCAAAACACGACCTACTATCTAAAAATCTTAGAATTTTCCGCCAACTGGAGCTATAATCCTTAGAAATTGAAAGAAAGTGCGTTTCACAAGGAGTCTTAATTTATACTTACCGTAGTTAGAAGATGAAGAGGGAGCCGAAGATTTGCGAGATTTATAGTTATTCTGGGAAGGTTGAGCCTCTTTTGCATTGAATGGTGGATATTGAAACTTCATTGAAGAACTCTGATTGGAAACTAAAAAATGTCAGACAAATCGATGTTATTCCCCTACACATTGTAATTCATGAATTAGTAAAGTAAAAATACCTGAAGAGCTATCTTCGTTTGTCGGGGATGCAAGATTTTCATATGCAGATGATTCTTCTTCACGTTGGCTCCATGGTACACTTCGATCGTCAACACTTTTCGCTGCACATATAAAAATTGATACGAAACACATTAATGCATAAGTTGAAAACCATGAAAGAAACAAATGATTTTGATTGTATGTATCTTGCGGCGTTTTATTCGGAGCGGAAACGGGGAGTTTCGGAATGGATGCACGTCAACAAAAGAAAATTTAAAGAAAAACTTTAATTATTTTTGATTACCTGTATTTCCGGGAACTTTCATCTGAAATAACATAAAATATAAAAATTTAAGGAGTCTTCAGCATGTTTAATATAAATCAAATTGTCCTCATACGCCATTACACTATACCAAATACACAACGAAATAAAAAATACCTGATCTGACACGCCTGATGACATTTGATGTAAAATTAGTGAACTTTTCTGTAAGTTGAAAAAACTATGATTAGCAATGTAGATGCGTCCGAATTGTAATTACCTTACTTTTACCAACACAAACAATTATTATTGTAAATTGCATATATCTTCTAATATTCACAATAACCGTATATATGGTATTTTTCAATTATATTTCTTTATATTATATGCCTCCACCATAAAGAACAACCATTTTGCTTTTTGTCACACATTTAAGTATTGCCAGACCGTTTGTTAAGAGTAAAACGTAATGCCACATCGGACAGAATGTGTATTTAAAGTGCTGTCATGGCATGTAATTCAATTACTGTATTATAACTTTGTTCCAGTACATAAAAAGTAATCCACTTATGCAAATTCCACATGCTGCAAACCACAGTACAACTTGGAGGGGGAACAATTCAAATTTAGTACAACTCTCAGCTGGTTTGGGAAAGAGATACCAATCCTCATCAGTTCCCTTGACTTTTATCTGGAGATATTCTCTACAACGGTAATTATAAAATAATAAATAAACGTTGTTTTTATAAAAATAATATTTATTTCATATCTCCATTTGGTTTGCACTCGTTTACCTGAACGAAATAGCATAACCATGTTGGTTGGTTCTGTCCGTTGCCATGTAAGTTGATTTGTCCATTCGTTGACGGTGCTATGTCCATAGAACAGTGTTGGCCTTTTTTTGCGGAATATACTGATTATTTTTGGTCTGTTCCAGATTTGCAAGAATGTAAAAGTTTTTACTGCGATAACCGATTTTCTCTTTGTGATATCGAAAAAAATTGCAAAACTAGTAGTTCTTGCAAGTACTGTAACAAAGTATTTGTTGCAAAATAGTTAGACTTAATACCACTATTGTTGTTTTTATAAAAAAAGTTTTTTATTAGTGGAGAATGATGGTAATGTTTACCTGGGGGTAAGATAGGGAGCATAATCGAATTATCAAGGTAAAAACATGCAAATACATGATTACATTTTTTTTTTAAATTATTCATTTGACAACATCTCATTGTCAAAGTTACATTTACAAATCCACTGTATACACACTAATCAGAGATGGAAACCTGTTTTCATACAGTAGAATTTGACAAGGTATGTTACAGAAAATTCAAAGATGGAAATGCTTATTTAAAATGACGTTACCTTCTTAATTTTACCACTGTAAACATACGATTACATGACTTTACCTTCTTAATTCTACCATGGAGAAACCAAAGAATTAAATTAAAATTCTTTTGACATTTTCCTGCCTTGGTCTTTTTAAACATTACCATCTTACCTCTCTAATAAACAAACCATGGTAAAATTCAGAAGGTAAAGTAATTTCAAATAAGCATTCCCACCTCTGCATTTCCTGTAATTTACCATATCAAACTAAATGATTTTTTTTTATTTGCTGTCTGAATGTAAGGGGGGCTTAATACAAAATTATCCAGTTTATATACTGATAGTATTGGTTTCAATTATAATGTATTGGATTTCTCCGAAACTTGGTTAAAAATATATATACTAAATAGTGAAATTTTATGTTCAAAACATGAAACATCAAGAAAAGATAGTGTTTGTAAAAAAGGTGGTGGCGTCCTTATTGCAGTTGATACCAAATATACCACTAATTTAATTGATCGTAATGATTTTCTTGATATAGAATTTGTTGGTGTTTCCATTGAATTTGGCAAATCTAAATTGTTTGTAACTTGCTCTTATATTCCCCCTACATCTTCACTTGACATTTATAATTAGCATTTATTAGCAATAAATTTAATCACTGAAAAAATGAAAGATTCCTATCGCATTCTGATCCTTGGTGATTTTAATATGCCTTCCATTAGGTGGCTTCCAATGCCAGATTCTGAAGCTTTTATTCCTTTGCCATCCGAAATGAACAGTACCACGTATACATTTGATGTTATAAATAGTTTGTGTGACTTAAATCTTTATCAAATAAATAGTGTGAAACATTCCCACGGCAAAATTCTTGATTTGACTCCATGACTCACAGCGATGTAATTGAAGAACGTCAGTGCGACTCATTTAAAACTGTCCTTAATTACAAAAAAAAAAAAAATAATTGAACAGTGTTGGCTTGTTTGTTCGGGAAATCTTTCAACCGCACTTATGCCCTGCCTTACCCCCTGGTAAAGATTTAGAAGACTTTCCAAAAGAATTTTAGTTTTATTTAATTCTTTGGTTCCTCTTCTATTGAGCTTACGATTTCGTCACTTGGGTAAAAAATGTTTTTTGTCATAGAAGTTATTTTTAAAATAACTTCTGGGGAGAATATCCCAGACAAAAAACAAGGGAACTGATGAGGATTGGTGGCTCTTTCCGAAACCTAGGTATTCCCTGCCTTACCCCCTGGTAAACATTACCATCGTTCTCCACTAATAAACAAACGTTGTTTTTATAAAAAAAAAAAAAAAAAACAATAAAGGGATAAAGCCTGACCATTTTGCAACAACAAAAAAACTAATTTTCGAAAACTTAATACCCTCATTTCCTCCGTAAATTGGGCTTCTGTGTGCCTGTGTAACAGCCATAAAGATTTAGAATATGTAATTGATAAATTTTATGATATTTTAAATAGATTTAAACTGGAATGTGTTCCAACCACTAGAGTTAAAAATTCAAATAAATATCCATGGATAACCCCTGAGTTATCACGTTTAAAGAATTCTAAAAATAAGCTTTTTCGTAAATATAAAAAATCAGGCTTAACAATAGACTACACTAATTACTCTGTTGCTAGATTTAAATATACTTTAGAGTCTCGTAGATTGTATAATCTTTTCCTAGACAAGATTAAAAATAATTTTAAATCCAATCCTAAATCTTTTTATGATTTTTTTAATCTAAAACGAAAAGTTTCCTCAAAGCCGCCAGTATTGAAATATAACAATAAAGAATTTGTCACAGGCACAGATATTGCTGAATGTTTCGCAGATTTTTTTTGCCACAACCTATTCCAGTACATCTTGCCAAATTAAAGATTCGTATCCTTATAAGTTATCACAGGCTGATCAAATTTGTATGGCTTTCTACAACGTCAGGATGTGTACAATAGTCTGCGTTGTTTAAAATCGATTAAATGTCCAGGACCGGATGGCGTACCTAATATAATTCTTAAATATTGTTCAGAAACATTAGCACTTCCGTTAACTATATTATTTAATTATTCACTTAAATTTGGTCACCTACTTTCTGGAAAAAATCTTATATTATACCTTTACATAAGTCTGGTAGTCTTACTAATGTGTCAAATTATAGAGGAATTGCAAAATTAAGTGCCATTCCAAAATTGTTCGAAAAATTAATTACTGCAGTAATTTCACAGAAAATTCAATCTATATTGAGTCCATATCAGCATGGTTTTCGTAGTGGTCTTTCAACTACAACAAATCTTATACAATTTACGTCAACAGTAATAAAAGGATTTGTTCAGCGTAAACAAACTGATAGAATTTATACTGATTTTAGTAAAGCTTTTGATAGGGTTAACCATGAACTCCTAATATATAAATTAAATTATATGGGTTTCAACACAAACTAAGTCAAATGGATATCATCTTACTTACAAGATAGATCACAACTAGTTTTGTTTGAAGGACATCCATCGGGTGTTCCGCAAAGAAGTCACCTTGGACTGGTCCTCTTTCTTTTTTTTATCAACGATTTACCTAATTCCATAAATTACTCAGATCTTCTTCTCTGATATTACAATATAATATTGACGGTCATTCATTATCAACTGTAGATTCATTTGTCGATCTAGGCCTCTTGATGGATCCAAAATTAAATTTTAATAGCCATGTAATAACAATGGCAAATAAAGCAAATGATGTTTTAGGTTTTGTTAAACGGCCAAAGAATTTTCTGATCCATATATAACAAAACAGTTATTTACGTCTCTTGTTAGACCTATATTGGAATACGGTTCTGTTGTATTGGATCCTCAATATGCAATATACTCAGATAAAATAGAATCCGTGCAAAAACAATTTCTGCTATTTGCCTTACGGGGTTTACATTGGAATAGTGATTTTGTTTTGCCTTCTTATGCTAGCAGGCTAATATTAATTAGATTGCCTACACTTAAAAGCAGACGTATTATGTTGAACTCCATGTTTGTTCTAAAAATATTAAATGGTAATATACCTTCAGATTTACTAATCTCATCTATTAGAATTATGTTCCGTTTAGATCTAGTAGATACTACCAATTATTATATACTGATTTTCACCGCACGAATTATTCAATGGGCGAACCTCTTAGTAAAATGTGTGTTGACTTTAATTCTGTGTACTGTAATGTAGATTTTGGTATGAGTTTAGAAGTTGACAAACTAGCTGATGAACTTAGATTCTGTAGCTGGTTTTCAATTTCCTACTATATTCCCATTATGATGCGGATCATGATGTGTACGCGATCCCTTCGTAAAGGGAGGTCGCCCCCTCGGTCGGCAGGGGTGGGAATGTGAGGCGTGGGAACGTTCGATAAAAAAATTCACCACAAAGAAAGCAGGTTTCCATCTTTGATTTGTGTATGTACAGTGGATTTATAAATAAAACATTTTGACCATGAGATGTTGTCAAATAAATTATTTTGAAATAATTGTAAACATATGATTGCACGATACAAGCATACTCGCCAACAGCAGATAAAAATGATGAAAAAAATAGAAGCATTCTATTACGAATTCACATATTTTTTGAAAACTACAAAATCACATGAGATAAATATTATGCAAGGTGACTTAAATGCAAAGGTTGGAGAAGACGCTGTACCTAGTGTAACGGGAAAATACGGACCTGGGGATCGAAATGAAAGGGGAGACAGATTAATTCAATTCTGCCAAGAATATAAATTGAAAATAACAAATATATTTTTCTGTCATCCCAACAGAAGACTGTGTACTTGGAAATCTCCACAAGATGGAAAGGCAACATCGAAAGAAATAAAATAGAGGAAAACATCCACTTATCCAGGAGCTGACGTGCCATCCGTTCATAATCCTTTATTAGCGAATATATGTTGCAGAACATCAATGAAAACGCTTGGGCGAAGGCAATTTGCTGTGGAGAAACTTGATTACCAAAATACATGCACAGCTGTCAAGCAAGATTTAAATCGTGAATTAAACAGGGAGAAAGTAGAGAACATATGGAGTTCTATAAAAAATACATTAAAACATATTGCTACAAAAAACCTAAAAATAAAGAATGGATGGCAAACGACATACTCAAACTAATCATAGACATACAAATTACGAAACATACTTTGGGCTTAAAAGAGACATTTAATCGGCAATATGAACCGCAAAAATTGAGCGCTTAAACAATCAATGTCAGGAAATTGAACGTCATGACGATTTCAATTTACATAAACGACTTAAAGGAGTCTCAGGAGTATATTAAAATCAATACCAAAAATATTATATATTAACAACAAAGCTGTTTTTGAGACAAAAGAAAAAAATAATAGTATGGAGTGAATACATAAAACAAATATTTACTGACATTAACCGATCGAACAACATTTCGGCTGACCAATAACCACTCTCAGGGAAACCAATATCTAAAACTGAGGTGATCTGCAATAAAATTATTACATAATATAAAATTTGGTGGACCAGACGAAATTTCTTCGGAATAAATAAAGTTAATAAACGACGAAAAGATACAACTTTTAGTATTGCTCTTTAACTACATCTAAGACTCAGGCAGATGTCCCCAAGACTGTCTTATGTAGTTTATGTCATGACATGGAAATAAAAATTCGATTTGTTAAAACTTAAGCTGGAAATACATAAAGAGCATATTTGGCTGGCTTAAGTCATCGGCTGGCTTCTTCGGAAATGAACAAAGGAGCCTAGGGCCAAAATCGAACTAAGTCAACCTAAAACTCCTTTGTTCATCTACGTAGAAGCCAGCCGATGACTTAAGCCAGCCATATATGCTCTTTATGTATTTCCAGCTTTATGTCTGGTCGGTCTTGCTGTACGCATCAGAAGTATGGACGCTAAAAGCCGTTGACACAAACAACTGGAATTTTTTGAAACGTGGATTTATCGACGCATCCTAAAAATCCCATGGATTTATTTGATACCTAATTCAGTAATTCTGACAAGATAATCGAGAACGTGAACTCATTACAACATTCAAAAGAAGAAAAACGCCATATCTTGGACATCTAATGAGGAACCGAAAATGCAAGCTGCAAGCAACCCCCCCACCAACATATGGTGAAGTAACTCCCCATTATGGTAAAATAAAGTCAGCCTAGCCAGACTTATTATTACCGGGAATTATTACCGATTTCTAACTCCTAACTACAATTTTACAAAACATATACACAGTCTGTATATGTGTGTGTGTATTGTTTTAAAAACAAAATAATTTGAAATTTTTTTCAAATTTAGATACAACAGAAATGGGAATTTTCCATGTTAGCGGCCAACAAAATGTATTATCTTGGGATGAAACAATATCGGATTCAGTTCTGTGGAGAAACCCCAATATTCCATTCATGTTTTGTGGGTTTTCCTAATATAGCAATTGTTGCATATTTAAAAGTCTATTTGACACTCGGTAGAAGAATACAGGTAGTCGCATCGACACAGCTGATGCGACAATGAACTGTCAAACCGATTTTGGAATTGAAAATCTTCAATGAAAAATCATTTTATAAAAAATTTTGAAAAATACATATTATTACAACCTCCTGTCGGCATCGTACAAGAAAACATATAAAAATCTACTTATTTTGGAGAAAACACTTTGACATATCAATCCTCCCAAACGTCGATGCATCTACCTATATCCTTCAGTACAGTGTACAGTGTTGCATTTTCCTAGTTTCTTTGAAGTTGAACGACATTTCTTATTGAACCATGATTTCACAACACTGAAGATTTCAAATACTGACAACTAAAGTTCGTTCACTCATTAGTTCACGACCAGGAAACAACAAACCCCTACATCTTCTAAGAAAGATAATCCATATAGATCCAGGAACAATTATTGCTCAAAAATGTACTTTCCACGACTGCATTAACAAAATCTAATCCAACGCAAACATTGGTGGTATACTTCACATAAATAATAAATATTCTATTATTTCGGGGTTCCTATGCACGTAAAAACAGTTATATTTTCTATGTCTCTTTTCTTATTCTTAAACATACAAAAATAGAGATTATAACCCATTCACCTTAAGGAAACATTCTCGGTGCTGTTAGTACTTGTTCAGTTCTGAAATGATGTTTTATTTTAAGTCAATCTTTAAGGATCAAAACTGGCTGAAACATGTTGGCAAAGTCTACACAATATCTGCTATATGGAACCTGTGTAAAACAACATCTTAATAATAAATTAAATTTCCTGCAATGAAATTAAATGTGGGAGTAAATAAACAGCTTGAAGTCTTCACATGGCATATTTTGTGACATATCATAAAGAGAATGCTGGGCTATGATGCCAAGCTGCTTATGTACTCTCACCTTAAGGCTAATTCGACTTAAAATTCAGGATGACAATCTTTTACTAGTATTATAGCAAACAAACCGCGCAATTATAGCAAATAATGCTTGTCCAAACTGCCGCAAACTGATAATTTCAAATAAAATTCAACTGTTCCATAATCAGGCCTTACGTGACTTATGAGATTAATATTTTAGTTTTTATATTCTTTCTTCACTATAATACCATCTAAAAGACGTGAAAATGAAAAAATACATGATCGAAAATAAATTTTAGTTGCTTGCCAGTCATAATATGCACTCTATAGCAACGACATTTGGTACGAGAGGTCACAATGATGATTGTGATGATGATATATACCATCGTTATATAATATAGTGAAAATCAATAAAGATAAAATGAATTCTATATGTTGGTGAACGTCAAAATTGGCCAAAATCGGTTCAGATATAGCCACGACTTCCATATATATGTTTCATCCGATTTGATGTTTACAAGCTGCTCCAAACCGTAATGGGTGAAACGAGGACGGAAAGAAACATCATAGATTGACAATATCCTAAAATGGACCGGCATTGAAAATCTTTCCTTTCTACTGAGTGAAGCCAGAAATAGAAAATTGTAACGAATAATGATATATAATTGTATTGGTCGCTTATATTCGGAAAACGAATATGCAAATAAAGAAGAAAATATTTGCCAAAGTACATGTCCACAAATCGTTCGTTTGGTCCAAAGACTATCCGAGTTTCTTTCGATTTCACGTTTATTGTGCAAAAAATTGACAAAAATTGGTTCAAATATAGCCACGAATTCCATATATATGTTTCATCCGATTTGATGTTTAAGTCCCCCATAGTCGTAATATGCAATTCATAAAAAGAATTTCAATACAAAATATTAATAACAGCTTAGAAATACCTATACAAACAATTTAAAATTAAAATCGGATTATATTTGGATAAAGCTCCCATACATTTGGATAAAGCTCCCATATATTTCTTCGTGCGATTTTATTATTGTGGGAAAAATATGTAATATCATCCCAAATTGGATGGAAATAAGCAAGACGTCAAATTTGGTGAAAACCCGATATAAATGATTCGTCCAATTTTTCTTTTCCAAGTCATAACATGCACCCTATAACATTTGGTATGCAACGACATTTGATACGAGAGCTCACAATCATCATAATAAAGATAAAATTAATTCTATATGTTGGTGAAGTAACTCCCCATTATGGTAAAATAAAGTCAGCCTAGCCAGACTTATTATTACCGGGAATTATTATACACAGTCTGTATATGTGTGTGTATTGTTTTAAAAACAAAATAATTTGAAATTCTTTCAAATTTAGATACAACAGAAATGGGAAATTTCCATGTTAGCGGCCAACAAAATGTATTATCTTGGTATGAAACAATATCGGATTCAGTTTTGGGGAGAAAACCCAATATTCCTTTCATGTTTTGTGGGTTTTCCTAATATACCAATTGTTGCATATTTAAAAGTCTATTTGACACTCGGAAGAAGAATACAGGTAGTCGCATCGACACAGCTGATTTTGGAATTGAAAATCTTCAATGAAAAATTATTGAAATTTATAAAAAATTTTGAAAAATACATATTATTACAACCTCCGGTTTGCATCGTATAAGAAAACATATAAGAATCTACTTATTTGGAGAAAACATTTCAAAATTTTTGACATATCAATCCTTCTCAACGTCGATGCATCTACATATATCCTTCTACCATGTTGACACTATAAGACTCCGGTATAGCGTTGCATTTTCCTAGTTTCTTTGAAATTGAGCAACATTTCTTATTGAACCATGATTTCACAACACTGAAGATTTCAAATACTGACAACTAAAGTTCGTTCACTCATTGGTTCACGACCAGGAAACAACAAACCCCTACATCTTCTAAGAAAGATAATTCATATTGTTCCAGGAACAATTATTGCTCAAAAATGTACTTTCCACGACTGCATTAACAAAATCTAATCCAACGCAAACATTGGTGGTATACTTCACATAAATAATAAATATTCTATTATTTCGATCTTTAAGGATCAAAACTGGCTGAAACATGTTGGCAAAATCTTCACAATATCTGCTATATGGAACCTGTATCAAACAACATCTTAATAACAAATTAAATTTCCTGCAATGAAATTAAATGTGGTAGTAAATAATCAGCGACATTATTTACCGGAATTGTATAAAACAGAGAATGGGCCATGTAGGTCCACGTCTTCGTATAGCCCCCATATAACGGTACCTCCCAATATTCGGTATTTTGAAGATTTTAGCGGCATTATTTACCGGAATTGTTTCACATTTTGCATTTGAAGTTCATAATGGACGCTACAGCCTATCACAGAAAATTGTCTGTGCAGGTCCACATCGTCGTATAGACTCTAATATACGGCTACATTAGCTATTTTCAAGATTTTAGCAGATTTTTAAGGGATTTTATTTTTTTGAAAATTGTTAAATTTGTACCAAATGGTGGAGGGTATTCAAAGTTCGGCCAGGCTTTTTTAGCTTTTTTACTTGTTTTTTTTTTTGTTTTGTATCCTTTGGATACCAGCTAAAATTCAATTTTATTTTTGTTTTCGACACTGTGCACTATTTCTTCAGTGTTATTTATTAAAATATTATTATTTTTATATAAATATGGTAAACATTACAATCGTTCTTCACTAACAATAAAGGGAAAGAGCCTGACCATTTTGCAACAACAAAACG